AGAATGGATATAGCAAAACCTCTGTCATTATATCAGTTAAACCCAAAGCAAAGTTGAAAATGCAATCAGTAGAAAATCTTATTCAGTTCAATGTCATTTCAGTCATAGGCTCTCAGAAGTATGTCACTGAGTCCTCTGAATATACAGTTGTGCCCTTCATTTTGTGTGATCAATGGTACAGCAGCATCTAAGTCTACTTTTCCAGAGGGGTTGGGGTACTCTGATTTCATATCAGCCCTTACAATACTAATGGTACACAAGAGGCAGTTTCGCAAGGGGCATTAAGCAGAATGGCTCAGTGAACATAGAAATTCACCAAGTTCCAATCCATGAATTCCCAAATAAGTCAAGCATGCACCATAACTGCAGACAGGAAAATTTCCAATATACATTTCCAGCTCTCATTCTTTTATTGTCTTACAAAGAGTTTTGATGCTTTCGGAGTCAAAACCTGAAAAACAGACCATAGCTTCCTTCAGGGCCTTTTGGTCAGGTTACCCTTCTACATGTTTAATTATTTCATTCCAGTTAATATCCAGTGCTAGATTATAACAGCCTTGCTGGTTTACATGCAGATCCAGACAGCCAGATGCTTCTGGAAGCTCTCAAGTATGAACAAATGTGAGTTTTATCATCCCTCCAGCTAATTAATGTGCTTATTAAGACCTTGTTTTAAATTTAAAATCAGGGAACACCTGCATTAGGGGTTGGAGATGCTCTAAGGACCTTAAAGGCCATGGACGTATCAAATGCAGGGATGAGAAGTTCCCATTCCTAGCTTTCATTTCAAACACCGTCATATGAAGCTACTTACCTTGGCACACAAAAGATGATGGTGTTTCGCCAGGGTGCACACGGGCTGTAATAAACACAACTTTCTGCTCTGTTCCAGGACGAAGGTTTACTGTTGAGGAAAACAAAGAGACAAAAAATTGATAGTAACAACTCTGAAATTTTGTACTTGTATGCAGGGCATAGTTTCCCCCCATTATTTATTTTATCTTAATGAATTGGAGTTTCAGAACCATCAGATATGTAAGAGATTCAAATTTGTAAAGAAAAATCTTGACTGTCCCCATTTTTTTCTTGCACAGTTGGAGTCTACACACATAGGTCACTAATTGATGGAGATGAAGTGTGCAGGGGGGGGCACAGGCAGACACGCCAATTATCCCCCTTTCCTCCATGCATACTGAGTTGGCAATCCTTCTGTCTCAAGAGACAATAGAAGAGTGTGCCATGGCGAGGAGGGGGGTAAAGTTAAACCATTGGAGAGTTACAGCACATAGTGTACATCAAATAATTGCACTGGCTTTATATTCTGTTTTTACCAATTCAAACATGATTTTAGCTGCTGGACAATAAATGTGAGTAGAAAAAAATCCCGATATTTCTAAGCCATTAAAAAGGGAATGGCTAACAACAGCACTATTTTTCTAGAAAAAGAGGAGCCGAGACTCACCTCCCATGTTCTCTTATAATGGCAATGGCACCCACCTGAGGGGTGGCAGAACTGAGTTCCAGATGGAAAAAAGAAAGCAAGCCCTGGCTAACAATTAGTTCTCATAGAAACATATTGTGGGCTATTAACACTCTTCTGTTAAGTCCCAGGCTCTGGCCAGGTATTGCCGCAAGGCAAGCTACTGGATAGTCGTATTCACAGAACTATGAAAGGAAAGTCATATTTAATTATTTTTATTTTTAATAGAAATAGTTGTTCCAGCCTGTGTCAATCAGAAGCCTGAAAATCCGAAAGAAAACAACAACACTTATCAATACATTTTCAGTTCTTCTCCAGAAGCAATTAGCCAAACAGCCCTGGAAATATTCTCTTCTCTTGTATTCTTTTAGTCTCTTAGGAAGTCCTACAACTGCTTAGCCTGTAGTCCAACCATTTATTTGGTCTTTGATGTGCTAACATCACACATCCCTGGTGCAAATTTGAGCCCTAGAGGCAGAGAAATCTTTCAAGAGAATGTTTCTGACAAAAGCAGCAGCTGGTGGGGTCAACCCTGTCTCTAGAAGAAAAATGAGAAGCAGCAGAAAGGAACATAATAATATCAGCAAAAAAACTGATGATCAACCAGTGTCATCAGGATTAGCACAAAGTGATGAAGAAGGGTGGAGATAAATTAGCCATGAACTATACAAGGTGAGAGGTAGAAACTGTAGTTTCTGAAGCTACATATTGTTAAAGAGAGAGAGAGAGAATTATGTTAAATAACCATCAATAGGTAACATGTGCCACAGTTTTTGTTTCTCTTACTTTTTATTACGTTTTCTGCTGTGCTCCATTAAATAATGTATATCATTCTATTTATTTACAGTCAGGATGGAAACCGTGATATACCGGTAGGTGCCAAACTGTAATACAGGGCTAATAGATGAGACCTACGTGATCAGGAAAATGGTGTAGGGGCACGGACCCTGCCATAGGCACTGCTCTAGTGATTGGATCGGATCTCTGTTTGAAGCTTTGAAGTTTGCAGGGGGGAGCAGGAAATAACTAGGGCAGTCTAATAATGGATTTCTCAAAACACATTTCCTTTAGCACATCCCCTTTAACAGTAAGGGGAAATATCCGCTCTTCTTATACAATATAAGATGGAAGAAAATAGCAACTAGGGAAGACAAATATTACCACACTTGGATAAATATGGGATCTGGCTTGCATTACTGAGACTTGGGTGCGTGAACTGGGTGGGCCTGACCTTACCCAACTGTGCCCACCTGGCTTTCAGTGCTGCACCAGGGTAGACAAGCGGGTCGAGGTGGGGGTGTTGCTGTTGCCTATAGCAGAGGTTCTCAAAGGGTGTGGCACACCACACTGGTGTGGCAGGAGGGGATGGCAAGTGTGGTGGGAACATTCAAGGCCAAAAAACATGTAAAAAAGAACAGAAAATTTGAAACTAGAAAATATCAGGTATGAAGTTTATGCATCTTTCCCCTCATTAACATGATGGGGCAGTTCAAGTAGCATTAGCGAATACACACTACCAGATATATTTTTTTTGGAAATCAGTCACTCAGTTAATAAAACATATTTTACAACTTCACGCCCAGTTATACACATTTCCAAATATTGAAGTGTTTTAGCATGTTATGTATCTTCTCTAACCTTTTCCTCTGCCATGTGTCTTAAATGTCAAAACAGTTTATGTGTGTGTGTGTATTCACTATTCTTATATATGAAGCAATAACATTTCTCACTGGCTATAACACCTTTGAATGAAAAAAATGAGGAAGCGACAATGTTGCTACCAAGAAACAGAACTCAGGATAAAATAAACGATACTGTATATAGTCTTGTCTTTACTGTTAGTGGTATATCTGCTGGGGCAGGTGGGGGAATCGTCTCCTTTATTGACTTCAGTGTAAGATAACACATCCTTTCTATTTTGGGACAGTAGCCAGGCTGTGAGAAAATGAAGGAAGATAAGAAATGTGATAGGTAGATGCTGGAATGTACAAGATATTTATAAAATGTGGAAGGAGATGTGGACGAGAGAGAAAAGACAGAAAGGAAATGTTTTTGTTTTGTGCCACTTGTCAGCACAGAACAACACACACACACACACACACACACACCCACACACAAAATTCAGCTCTGCTATTCAAGAAAGGTGACACATCAATAACAGGTTGACCCTCAGACTGCTCTGCTGACTGCCTGAATCTGCCTCCTTCATGCCACGGGGCCTTCAGATACAATAGCATGGGGGAGGGGCACAGGAGTGGCTGCCCTGGGTGCAACATTGTTAGGGGCCCCAACATTGTTAGGGGTGCAACACCCGGTGCTGCCTCAATGCAGCTGCACGCTTCTGTTGCTGGGCTCCGTTGAAAACAGCTTCTCCATGCAAACCAGGAAGTGACCTCTCCAGACAACGTAACAGCTCTTCTTTTCTTATCTCTGTGGTTGTGATTTCCTGAGTGAAGCAGACGCCGTTAGGCGGTTGAATGTGCACACACCATTTCCCTCCCCGCCCGCTGCACAGCCCCGGGCACTGGCAACCCACGCTATGCAGATGTACTGAGAAGATCGGGTTGTCCATCTGCCAAAGTGAAATGGCGACACAGTTGCAGAAATGACCTTTCATTACAGATAGAAATATGTAGAATTACCGGGTGTTTGTTTTCATTTAGTTTCATTTCTCTGCTGTGTTGTTATCACGCTGAGAGCTAGCCAAAAGATAGAGCTGACGGGCTTTCAATCCAATCAGAAAAATAATATTGTCTGGTTGCACTAACAATGCTAATACTCATTATACATTCAGAACATGTCATTGAATCTGCTATCCCAGATATTTGAGGATAGGCATTCAAAACAGAAAACCCATGGCGGTTTGTGTTCCCTGCTGAAATTCAAATGTTCCTGTGAAAGTGAGGTGGATTCCAACCATTTCATATTAATCTGGCAGTCTGAAAATTAGAGCCATTAAAATGATCTAATTTGAGCTCTTGATGTGTATGCTGTTGACCTAATAGACAATTGATTTTCTTCCGCTTTTTTCTGCTGACCATAGGGGGGAAATGCAAATTGGGCATTATATTTGCACGCTAATTTTATTGCGCCCTTGTGTCTTCATAAAAAGGTAAAGTTTGGGCTAATAAAAATAAAACATTTCTGGTCCTAATGCAAGGAAATGTTTATGCAGGCAGGTAACAAATTGGTTTGTCATTTAGGGGAACATAAAGAACGCTATAATCATCTTTAGGGAAAATAGATAGGGGCTTTTGCTTAGCTTTAGCTTTCATTTGCAAAATCACTTTAATGTAGTGCAGCATTTCTAAGACAGAGTGACAGGAAATTAGCACATCTGTTGCCTCATTCCCATCCACATATGCAGTTTATTAAAGCCCTGGTGAGCGGACAGGAGAAAAGCATAGAGACAAACATGATCAAACAAGAGAAATGGAGCATTTACAGTGCTGTTCTATACTTGCTTACTCAGAAGTAAGTCCCACTAAATTTTGTGGGGCTGAATCCCACATAAACCATCTTACACATTCTCTCTCTCTCTCACTCACTCTCTCTCTCTCTCTCTCTCTCTCACACACACACACACACACACACACACAGAGAGAGAGAGAGAGAGAGAGAGAGAGAGAGAACCCACTAGGGACAGGTAAACACAAATAAATCTTATAAAGACATTTGGAAGTCAAAGGCTGAAGCCACTTGCCACTAATCTTTGTGACACTGGGATTTTGGAAGTGTAAATATATTATGTGTGATCTCTTTACTTAGCTGTTATTTTTCTTCTTTCTTTTTGCACCATCTGAAAGATAAGAGTTTCCAATGGATTGCGAGAAAGTGAACTGCGATGGCAGTTTTGGCAGGCAGCCGATCAACCTGATATCTCTAGACCAAAATCAGCTGATCTGCTTAGATCCAAGAGGAACAAGCCAGCCCTTGAACTACTCAATACCATACCCCCCCATTCCCCCCACCCCATTTAATGGAAATAGTGTACTTCTCCCTCACACTTTCCTCATTGAAGGTGTTCTATGCAGAGGGCGAAATTATGCAAACTGTTTCAGTGTTAATACTTGACTGCATTTTCAACTTAATAGCCCAGCAAGGGAATGTTCTTGTCAAGCAAAAGGCCAGCAATATCTTCTGGTAAAATTATTTCCAAATACAGAAAGTCAGAAATGGCAAAGCAATTTTGAGAGAGGGGATTTTTGCCCTCCCCACTTCTTATTTGTTTGTTTTTAATCTGCATGAAGTCTTGGAAGCAAACATTTCTGCATCTGTGCTTTCTGACACTGTCATGCTCAATGCCCCTGCAAGGAAAGGAAATTAACTAGCACACAAAAGCTGCTAGGTTTATGCTTTTCCTCCCACCTCCCTCTTCCTCTGGACAGGATTTTGCATTTAGATTATTCACAAGCATCTGCATTTTTGGAATGTAGTTTCCCATGGAATGGAATAGAAAAAAGAGGAGTATGAGTGGCATGTTATTTTATTCCAACAGCCAAGATTATAGTAATGTGCAATTAAGGGTGCAGCACATAGCATTTATTGTCATCTGCCTGCATCCTCACTGTAAGCATAATAGTTCAGCAGACAAGTCCTTTGCTTGCTCTCTTTCCCCCTTTCCAGCTTTGCTATTTATAAGACCATAGAACAGATAAACCCCCATGCCCCTCAGAGATGAAAGAAAGGCAGCTTCTGATGCTAAAGATAAGTGGTACATTAAAAACATGCCTCCTCAAAGGCATAGATCATCTGCTTGCATTTGATGTATAATCCCAAAATTCCAAAAACCCACCGCAATATCCTCAAAATGTCATCTGTTGTAGTACTAGAGCAAGAGTGGGAGGGGAAATAATATTCAGGACATACAATTCAAGCCATTTCTTTTCCACAGCATAATTATTTAGATGATATTTTCCAAAGAAAGGTGTTTTGGGTATGTGTCTTCTGTTCCCTTGAATACTAAATACCATGGTCTATTCCAGCAAAGGGATTATGTTGTGGAATCAGGCTTTTGCATGTGCCATCAGCATGGATGCCAAGTCCACATATGGTGTGCATATGGGTGCAGATCTGCATCATAATGCTTGCTCAAGACCCATGAAAGTATCTGTGCTCATTTTTGGATGCAGATGTGCATCACCATCTTGGGCAACTAGTTGTTATATGTGATTAAAATATGGATCAGTAAGCACAGATGGGTCAGCAATATCTACTACTAGGCCGATTTGACTTCAGATTAACTTAACTTTACCACCACCACCCCAAGAAAACTGTTGAGTCTAGTTGGCTGCCACATCATGTCACATAGTATTGGTACACTTAACACCACATAATAAGGATGAATTCTGGAACCAGGTATCCCCAACATTTGCAGTGACAGGTCTGAAGGGTGACTGATCTGTCTTGTGCTTTCTTCTCCAGCCTTAATCGTTGTAGTTTGGTCCTATTGGAAACAGGAGAAAATAGACTGCAGCACCAAGAAAAGAAGGAGGGCTTGATCCCAGAGTTTCTCCCCAGCACTGAGCAACATTGGGCTTTATTGTCAGCCATGCTCTGCCTAATGCAGAGCAACTTGATGAAGCCCTGTGAGCTTTCCCAGCCAATACATAATAAGGGGTTCCTAACTTGCAAGGGTTGTCAACCTTTTTGGAGCAGTGGGCACATCTGGAATTTCGAGAAAGTACCGTAGGCACCAGTTACAATACATAAATAATCAATGTGTGTTCCATGTACAGTATTGTTCCATTTGCATTATGATCCCCCAATTAGTAGTTTTTATTATATTGATGGGTGGGTCACCATGGGTTCACCAGCTGGTACTAGGGCTTGTCATGCAGTACAAAAGGCTTTCACTTCCAGGACAGATGCTCAATTTAATCAGATTTTTATAATGTTAATAGTCTGACACTAACAAAACTTTGATACCTGGTCTAGACCAGTCCTATATGAAAACCCATCCAGTTGGATTGCATGAATCAAAGATTTGATAAAGCTCTTCTCCTCCCTCCTTGTGTGCCCGGTCACCTAGAACTGCAATTATGGGGCAGTTGTCCAGCCCCTAACAAAACACATTGCGTAGCTAGGGGGTTTCCTTCAGCTTAGAAGGTCATAAGCTGTATTGGTTTTGTCTAGATAAATTAGGGTTGCCATATTTCGAAGAGTAAAAAAGAGGACACATTTTCCGACTTCTACTTTTAACTATGAATCGCTATGACGACTCTCATGTTACAGACCCATGAAAAAGAAGGTGTGTCCTGGGAAAAGAGGACATATGGCAACCCTAAAAATGACATCACAGAAGCCATGGCAGAGCAGCATATTTTCATTATGCTGCAGTTACACTAACATAACTAGATTTTCCTCTCACTGCCACTATCAGTTGTGTTTCAGAGATCAATCTGATCATGTTGAATGGCTTGAACTTTTGCAGGGCACACACTTAATGAAATATTGAAGATGAAACATGGTCCTGCAAGGAGGCAGAGGATTTATATTCCAGCCAAGTATGCAGTGCTTGCTAATGCACAGCATACGTCGCGTTATTATAATAGGTTTTCCCTGATAGTGTATCATACCAATAGGGAGTGCAAGGTGCTATGAGGGAAGATCAGCCTTGGGGGAGTTTGCAGTGCAGTCTGGGGCAAAAACAACAGTTTTGCCAGTAATTGTACATGGGGGAAAATGCAGGCAGAAGAAATACGTTGCCATGTACGAGTTGTGCCAGGAAAATTGGGTTTAGACAAATTCATACCAAGAATCTGTCAGAAAATGTTGCAGTGGGGAATGCTTCTGTTTCAGGTGTCAGTCAACCAGGCTCTTTTCAGGCAGACTCCATTCCCAATTCCCCTTTCTGTCCCCCCCCCCTTCCAATAGCCATAGTGACTCTTTTTTGCACTGACCACTGATGCAAACCTTATGGCTTCCTGAAGCCTGCCGATACCTCCCTCTTGTGCATGGATGATGACAATTCGGCTCCACAGAGATTGAAACTGAGAGAATGAGTTCACTATTAGCACACAGGATAGCTAGATGGAACCTCCACACCCAGAGGCAATTTGCTACTGAATCCCAGATGATGGAAAGCAAACACAGAAGATGACAATTGCCTTCAGGTCAAGCCTGTAGGCATATGGATGAGCCACTGTGGGTCACAGGATCCTGGACTTCATGGATCTTCTTACTGGTGTCCTTCAGAGTGGTCATCAAGAAAGATAATAAAGGGCATCAATTCACTAGGAACATCTCTTTTGCCTTTATAGCATGCCTAATGCTGTCACTGCCTGTTTAGTGACCTACCTAAATAACTATTACTATGCGATGACAACATGAACAAGCAAGGAGATTTTGATTACTCGGGAGCTCTTTTTTATTTTAAATTCATTTCAGCCTTAGAGTTTGGTCATATAGTAAAATCCAATACAAAATGTCAAGGGGTTATAATTACAGGACAAATGTCCAGATAAATGAGGCTATAAAAATGCAGATTATTGTGCACACTCTATCACTCACAAACACACAACACACGCAAACAGGCTATGCAGAATATTAAATTATGTGTCTAAAAAAATATTTTAAAAAGCCTACCCAGCAAAATGTGTTTAAAAAAGGGAAAGGAAAAACCCAAGTCTACCAGCCTAGGGAGAGCTTTTAATTAACGTCAAAGGCAGCTTTAATAGTCTGGGGGGGAAATAATCTAGCACAGCAAGAACTAAATTAATAAAATAAATGCAGCATGCTGAAGCCCAAGGGCCTTGTTCACAGCCATCATTTATTTAAAGGATGGGATATGTCAGTGGAGAGATGCTGTGAAAGAAAGGAGAAAAAAAGCGATGGAAAACTGGATGCCTGATTTTGTCAAGGCAGAATCTAGCTAGGCATATTTACTAGCACTAGCACTAGTATTCTCTTTTTTCATGAATAGTTTATTGGGTGTTTGTTTGTTTGTTTTATAAAAACCTATAATAAGCAATAAATAAAGGAAAAAGAAAACACATTAGCAGAACACGACCATTCATAATACCATTTTACAAAATCAGGCACATGTGGTCAACGCCAAGGGAAAAGAAAAGAAAAAATGACAGAGGAGGGTCGGATACAGAAGGGGGAAGAGGGGGAGCCTCTGGCAGAGCTCATATGACGTATCATGCAAATAGCTCTAAAGGGTTCCCAGATCTCAGAATACAGTGGTATCTCGGGTTACATACGCTTCAGGATACAGACGCTTCAGGTTACAGACTCCACTAACCTAGAAATAGTACCTCGGGTTAAGAACTTTGCTTCAGGATGAGAACAGAAATCGTGCTCCGGCGGCGTGGCGGCAGCAGGAGGCCCGATTAGCTAAAGTGGTGCTTCAGGTTAAGAACAGTTTCAGGTTAAGAACGGACCTCCGGAACGAAATAAGTACTTAACCTGAGGTACCACTGTAGTTATGTTCTTTGCACCTCTGGGACAAAGTAGCTTTTTCATAGGCAAGAGAGGAAAGGCCCTCCAAACAAGGAGGTATCAGGGAAGCTGTTCAGTCTTTCCAGTTTTGGAAAAACAAAGAAACAAAAACCCACAGTCATTTGGCCCCCGTTAAAGCATGCAGGGTCCCACTGTGGTGCCCCTCCTTCAAATTCCAGGATATTAGGATATAATGG